TGCCAAGAGAGGGAATAACGAGGAGCTAGGGATTGTGCTATAGCATGATGACTCAGGATTGTTTTTACCAGCAAGGACATGTCCAGCTACTGCACTGCAACTGCTTGGGGTGTGCCTTCTGATTGTCTTCACTGTGCTTTTGTTCCTCAAGGATGTTGCTTCTTGCACAGAAAAATCCCTTCTGAAATTGCTTTGAACTGTACTTTCCTTCCTTTATTAGAATAACCCAGACTTTCTGCTTTGACCCTTTACGTGCCTTTTAGACACGTGTTACCCTTTTATAATCAGCTCTGATTCAGGCAATAGTTTTCAGAGCAGCCTAAACTCTCAGTAGCAGTAGTAATGTTTAATGTATAGTTTCCTAGCACTTCACTAGGAGATAGTGGCGTAAAGAAATGGGGTGGTCAGGCAGAAAGGAGTGGTAGAACCGTTTAGGTCACTTACCCAGTTTTATGAAAACAGAAATCTGCAGTTTCCTCTCTTTATTCTGCTCCCCCACCAAAGAGAACTGGGCTCTGAGATCACTTCCTAGTGAATTCTTTCATTGGTGACGTGAGTATGAATTGACTTTCCCTGAACAGAGGTTACTCCAGGTGATTTGGTGTGATTTAAAGTAAGCTGCAACCTTCACATCCATGGTGGTGGGTATTTGGGTTGGCCTTGAATGAACCTTGGAAAATTAGCATGTCATAATGTGAGGAGAAATCATCCCCACTCTGGGGCAAACTGGAGGGCTCCTGCCCAAGCCATGGGAATAACCATCTCCCTGTTTCCATGAGATGCAGAGGAACTGGGAGAAATGTGCTGTTCCTTGGCTTATTTTCCTGACCCAGGGCTTTTTCTTGTAATTACCAGAAGAGGCAATTTACACCTAGTTTTCCTTTCTCTGCATTACAGTTGTGCAACCCAGAAAGACACACAGCTCTGGCTTCCCTCTCAGTTTCTCTCATTTTCTTCCTTTCAGTCCCCTTTTGCCTTTGCTGTGCAGTTGAGTGAACTCTGACAAGTTGTTTTGCTACTAGTTTTTGGTAGTATTTTAAGGATATTGGTTTTTTTCTTCTTAGCCAGAAGGTTTAAAATAGTCATAGGGATTCTCTTGGCTTCACTGCAGCAGCAATAGGCTATTCAGCAGAAGTGAAGGAAGAAGCACAGCCATATAGAAACAAAATTTAGCTGTCTGCCAGACTAAGGAAAATGTTCAACTGGCTTGTTATTGCCAACTCGGTTGTTTAAAAACATTTAACTGCTTAAATGATTCTAAGAAAAGTCTTAGATTCTTGCTTTAAGAAAGCCATCCCTAGTTTTTAATGTTCAGGTAATGCTTAGTTTTGTGACAACTGTAAATATTTTCAAAATGAGGTCTCTGGTATCAAAGGCAAGGGAGATTATTTTTTTTTAACAGAGGGCTGGCATCATAGTTGCTTTAAATTCTCCACCCCTGACATGAAAAGATTTCTTTGGCAGCTGTTTCTGTTTGCAGTGTTAACAGCCTCTAAGAAATGTTTGTACTTCTGGTTTGCTTGTTTTTTAGATTCTCTCAGTTTATGGTCCTTTCAGTGTCTTGTATGTGTGTCTGAACATAGGCAAGGAACCACAAAGCAGAGATGTGCCTACTGAAATACTGAATTTCTAGAAGTTCCACCACACTTCTCATTTTCAGCCGGGCTGGCTTTATCCCCCCTGTCTCAGGCAGCTGGGAGAACAGTATGTTTTTGGTTATTTACACTGTTAATAAATCCCTGGTTTACTTGAAATGATCTTTTGGCATTGCTGGGTATTGGAAATCTAGGCCTGGGCAAGCAGCTTTCTGTGCTTCTTTGTTAATGAAAGCTTCCGTTTTACAGCTCTATTATTGTCTGAGCTCTAAAGGGAACACAAAGATTTCATGTGGTTTGGGTGTTTGTAAGCTTTCCACGTTTTTCAGGTGGGGGATAAGAGAAGGTTTTACCCACCTGTGCACTGTGGTTTTGTGGAAGGTTTCTTTTTGAGGTAGTGCTTGTTATTTATTCTCTTCTCTTGGCTGCTGTGGACATGGGCACTTTATCCACTCTGTGGCTTGGATGGCACAACTGATGGTGCAGCTGTGGGGGAGCTTGGCTGGATTAAAAAAAATAATAATGAAATAATAATGAAAACCAAACCAAAATGAAATCAAAAAACCAAACCAAAACCCCACCAAAAAAAAATCCCAACCAACTTTTTCTCCTAGTTCAGCTTGTGAGGAAGTCCCAAAGCAGCAGTAGGAGTGAGGGAAGAGGCTGGTGCCAGTGCTCACCCAGCTGCAGCACTCGGGGTTAGTGTTGGTCTGGCAGTGAGATGGGCTCTGAGTCCAGCAGGTCACAGCACAGCTAAGCCTGTGCTGCTCTCTCTTACCATCCAGAATCCAACTAAAAGCTTTCCCTCCTCCAAATTCACTTTTCAAAATCACTGCAGTGTTTTTGAAAAAGTAGTATTTCCTGTCATTTTGAAGAAAACATTTTGAATGCCTAGGTAATGCAAAGCCTTATTTCCCAAGTACCAGTTCCTTTGGAAACTGGTGGTGCTTCATGTCCAGCAGCAGCAGAAGGTGGTGTGTTGGTGACTGTGTTTATTTTGTGGCCCCAAAGCCATCAGTGTGTTTGCCCGTGATCCTACGCTGCCTGTGGGGCTGTGTGAGCACAGGTCCTGAAAGCTTTGGGAAGTCAGTCACCAGGTTATCCTTCCCCTCTTCAAAGCAGGAGGGGTTTCTGACTGACTTTTTGCTTTCTCAAGCTTGGGCAGGTCTTGAGCACTTCTGTTATTTTGAAGTTTGGGTTATTTCCTCCATCAGTGTTTTTCCCCTAAAAGTCACATTAAATCACCCTAAAGGTCTTTTTATTACTCAGTTTCTGGCAAGGTCCTTAGCCCTTCAAGTAACACCTGGGAATTTTGTGTAAATATGGTTTTGCACATGTTAGTTCATTTTCTTTTCTTCCATAGTAGATTCCTTTCATTTTTTTTTTGTTTTGATTGTTTTCTTGGTTTTTTGAGACAGAAGACAGTTTCAAGCTTTATTTTGGAAGCAATCCTGTAAATATCAAAAGTTCTCTGAATATGTCTGTGTGAGGTGGTAGATTTAGAGGGTTTATTTTGATATTAGTTAATGTATTCAAATCTGGAAATAACTACTCTGCTTATGCTGCTTCCTCAATTGCTATTTATAGACTTCTCATCTTCCCTGTTATTTGTAGGTGTAATTAAGAAGCATCACTGGGAATTTTCCTAATCACAAAAGACTTAGTTGTAAGTACAAAATGGTCTGTGCTCAATTCTGAGCAGACAGAAATGAGGATAAACTTACACCAGGTGTCCTATCCCATGTTAAATCCATGACTCTTTCATGTCCCACTCCCTTCTGCATCCAGTCATACACTTCAGGAAAAATTAGGGCTTGGTGAAAAAAGAAAGTTTGTCCAGTTTTAAACAGCTGGGTTTGCCAGCAGGAGGATCCCTGTTTGCTTGTGGTGTCTTTGTGTCACTTTGGATGTTATGGACAAATGTAGCTCACTAACAAGGGGCATGGAGAAAACTGCTCCTGCTTTTGTTGGATGCTGTGAATTTAAATTAGGCTTAAGAATTCTGAAAGACAGCTCAAAACCATATGAACATAGCAATTTCATTATTTACCAAAAAAGGTACTTCTTTAGTACGAAGGAGATTAATTTCAGAAGATGACTGTGTGTGTAATCTTATTTCGGATGAAAAGAGCCACAAAGCTGAGGCAAGAAATTGAGATTTGAGAACTCCCTTTTGATTGAATTATATATATTTCTCTTATCTGTCTAATTCTTAGTAGGGTCTTAAGTGTATAATAATGTAATGTAAAAGAGTAGGAGAACTGAATGATGATGTATTTAGTAATGCTGCTTGCAATTAAAAGCCCTGGGGAGGGGCTATGGTCGTGTAATCAACTTTGTCTAAAAATAGTACGGTCACCTTGTCCTTAGAAATTGATTTTACTTGCCTTAAAGGAAGTATCTTTCAGGTCAGACAGGTGGACGTTATATTATAATTCTTTACAAAATAAAGCTGATGATGGAATTGCTGATTCTGTAAAGATTCCTCTTTAATGTCTCTAAAATGAATGATGGTTGGCTGTTGTGTGGCACTGCTGGATGACAGTGCAGTCTGTGCTAGAAGGGCAGTTTTGCATCACTTTAAAATCTAAGCAGCATTTGCCTTTGTAACCTGTATGTTTTATTGCCAGAAACCAGCTCCATCCCAACCCTCCTCCCCAGAACACCCTTCTTAACAAGTCACAATGAGTAGCTTCAGCTTGCTTTGTTTTGAGGTGGGAAAATGGTTACAGCTAAATCTGGAGGTGTGTAAAGAGATGTAAAATGCTGCAGCAACTAAGGTGTTTGTCTGAGGGAGGGAAATCTGGAGCAATGGGTGTGTTAAAGGAGAAGGAAGAAAAAAATCTAAATTACGTGGGAGCTGCACCATTTTTAATTGCTTCATTTTGCTTGACTGCCTTTAGTTTTCCCTTTTATTTTTTATCCTCTCAGCTTGCAAGTTACACCACTTGTTTTGTTCAGTCAGTTTAACTTTTGACAGCAATGGGGTGGGAGGTCAGGGGTGTTCTTTGTTTCTTGTTTTTCAGCAGCAGCTTTTCAGTTCAGTTTCTGGAAGGTCCATCTCTCCCAGCAACAGGAGCACTGAGTAGCTGGTGTTGGGCTCGTCTTTGGCATTGGCAAGTGAAGCTGCTTGAACACAAAGTATCTCTTTGGAAGGGTTATGGAGCAGGGAAATGTGTAATAACATGCAGGGATGCTTTCAAAGCTATTTGATGCTTTCTAAGATACTTTCAGCTATTAACAGTGAGCAATGTGTTCAACAGGATGGCTACATTCATCCTGAAACTATCTCAGCAATAGCATTACATTGGTTAAAAGTGATTGCCAGAATTCTAAAACTTTAATCAGATGAATTCAGATCCAATGGAAGAAAATTAATAATTTTATGTTACCTTTTCTCCTCAGAAAACCTGAAAAAGGAGTCCAGTACCTCATAGAGCGAGGATTCGTGCCAGATACCCCAGTTGGTGTTGCCCACTTTCTGCTGCAGAGGAAAGGGCTCAGCAGGCAGATGATCGGGGAATTCCTGGGAAATCGGCAGAAGCAGTTCAACAGGGATGTGCTGGAGTGAGTATTTGTGTGGGGAGGAGGTGGGAATGTTCAGTTGGGATGAGCTGGAGTATTTGTGTGGGGAGGAGGTGGGAATGTTCAGTTGGGATGAGCTGGAGTGAGTATTTGTGTGGGGAGGAGGTGGGAATGTTCAATTGGGATGTGCTGGAGTGAGTGTGTGTGTGGGGAGAAGGTGGGAATGTTCAATTGGGATGAGCTGGAGTGAGTGTGTGTGTGGGGAGGAGGGGGCAGTGTCCTGGTGCTCAGCAGTCAGCATGGGCCTTCACCAAGCTCCAGGCAGTGGTCTCGGGGTGTCTTGTGCTTCTTTCTGGGTCTTGTTCTGAAGGAGGGGAAACCACACTCCAAAGGGTAAGAAAAGATACATGTGAGCCAATATTTATTTCTTTGCTTTCCAGTTAAGGCACTGGTTTTGTTATTGATCCAGCAAGATACTCACAAGGATTTATATTCCCTGTGGCCACGTGCATTTACTCTAAATTTATGTTTTAATTTCATAGACCTTAGAGTGTGTAATTTCAAAGGTTTTTTTCTTCCTCAGACTCTGATAATTTAGTGAATGAAACACAATAATATTGTAGGCAACGTAAGGTTTAATCAGTAACAGAACTTGAAAATGGTTATTATGGCCAAATGGCTCAGATGTTAGATAAGGAGGGATTTCTGCCTGTGCAGGCACGTGCTGACAAGATCTATACAAACTGTTATTTTCCAAAAGATTAGATAAACAAAAACTGTTTTAAAAACCAAAAGATTTTCTGCAAAGCAGAAAATCAGACTTTTAGCAGCTTGGTCATAAATATCTAAACCTTATATATAGACTAGACCAAAGCTGCTTTATTTTAGGAGGGTATTAATTTAAAACACGTATTCTTTGGGGCTTTTTTTTTTGTATCTGACATACTGGCCTGTAAATATGAATACATCTTAGTCCATTTTTATTTCAAGATATTGTATAAAATTTTAGCTAGATGCCTAACAAAACTGCTGAGAATTAAAGCAAAAACCACAACATCTTTCCCATTAAGGAAGCCTAGAGAAAATGCTCACCACCATTTTTTAAATAACTGTTTTATTTGACAGTGTAATGAAAGCTGTAGTGAAATCTGCCTTGGGCTACAGATGCAGAGGCTTTTTCTAGAGGTCTTCCCTCTCTCTTTCCTGTGCCTTATTAAAAGCTGCCTTCTTACAGTCCAAGCCCCAGCAGAAAGCAAGGGAAGCACCTCCAGGGCAAAGCCTGGAGCCAGGCTGAGGCTGCAGAGTCATGGAATGTGGCTGGCTGGGATGCAATCCCTGTTCAGCATGAGTCACCGCTGGCCACTCACAGTGATCTGCATTTTGCAATTATGAGTCAGACTAGGGGGAAGACTCTCCAGAAAGTGTGTATTTTTAATTTTTTTTTAAAGGGAACAGTACAGGTTCAGGACGAGACGGATTCTAATCTTGGCTGATCTTTAAGGTCCCTTCCAAGCCAAAGCACTCCGTGATTCCACGATGCATTTTGTGATCCTGAACAAATCCCTTGCCCTCAGCACCTCAGGCAGACCTAAGCAGAGGTGTGTGTCTGTCTGTGAGGAGGTGAATTGTTAAGAACAAGGTCAGGATCACCTGCCTCCAGCCCCCCAGCAATCCTTTTATTGGAATGCATGTGTTCTGAGCTGTTCCAGCCAGGCTTTGGGGTGAGGAGCTCCCTGTAAGCAGTTCTCTGCACAGTGCTCTGAAGCTTGCCTGCAAATGGGAACAGGGTATTTTCTCTTAAAAAAAAGACAATAAAATAGCGTTTAATCCTAAAAATCATATTTACAGATTGAAGGTAGATTTTGTCAAACTGATACAGCTCCATGTGGGTACATAGAAAAGATACTTTAAAAGATGATCCTTTTTCTGTTACACAGTTTATTTTCAGATCACTTGCTTTGATTTGTGTTCAAGTTTCCCAGACCAGTAAATTTGGGTATTTTAGCTATTTGATACCTTGAGCTTAGAAAATATTCACGAGAACAGCCTAAATTTTTGACCAAGAGCTGAGTTCTGGGCCTGCTGGAGCTGCTGCCTGCTGGTGGTGCAGAACAGTGACCATGGTGATTTATCTGCTGTCTCCATAGTTCATGTAAAACCTTTTGAGACCCCTCCCATTCTGTTGTTGGCCAGCATGTTTCTGGAGGTCCTTAATTGCATTAATTAGTTCATTTTGACTCCAGCTGGGCTGCACATGTGCTTTACACCTTTGAAGGAGAAAAGGGTTTTGGTGTTAAAGAACTTGGAAGAGGTGGGAAGACTGAGGGCATTATTGCAGAACTGATGAGGGGGTTTAGGTGTGGATTGGAAAGCCTAAAGTCTTCTACACAAAGGGAGAAATATTCCAGGCAAGGGGAATAAATTGTTTGGTTATTAATTTATGTTAGCTACAGTTTTACTGGAAGAAAAGTATGATCTATTCTCATTTGTCATTGTAAACCTATACATTTAAGAAAAAGCTTTTAAAAGTGGAATGTGCTTTCAGTGGTTTCTGCAGTACAGTAATTCTTGTCTGGTTATTTAAAAACTAAAAGGTAAGTTTAAAGAAAGGAAATTTATAGCCTTCTGATTTTAAAGCAGTCTTTAAACAAAGTATTAGAATGACATAATTCACATTGTTGATTAAATTAAAATACTTCCTTTTTTATTTTTTGTCAGCACTGTATTTTCTGAGCAAGAAAGTAATTATTTCTCCATGAGTGTTAACTGAAAGACATGGCAAATGATGGAGAGATGAGAATTACAGTGGTAATAAGAGAGTATCCAAACAGGGTTATTTTTTTTCTCTGCATGTAAGAACGTTCCCAGACACAGAGCCATTTGGTGCAGAGTGTTGTGCCTGCTGCAGGCTGTTTGAGATATGATATAAACTACTTATTATTGTTGTAGGCATTGTGATGGTTGATTGGCCTGGAAGTACGAATCTAATAATTATTGTTGGCAGTGGTACATCCCTTAAATTGGTCAGACATTTGTCATCCCAGCAGCTCTTCTGTTAAAAAAGAAGAAGGTTCTGCTCACACATTCTCATGGATCCCTCATTTGCAGCCTTCCTTCACAGTTACCTACAATTACTGCCGTTGCTGCTGACAGTTTAAAGGACAATTCCCTGAATCTCTGTGAGATGGAAAATCGAAAGGTTTTTTGTTTTGAGCTCTTCCCTTTGGTCTGTGCTGTTAGAAACGAAGAGGCACAATGGAATGTGTTTCTCTCCTAGCTGTGTGGTGGATGAGATGGACTTCTCAACCATGGAACTGGATGAAGCACTCAGGAAATTTCAGGCTCATATCCGTGTCCAGGGAGAAGCCCAGAAGGTGGAACGGCTCATTGAAGCTTTCAGGTAAGAGACTGAAATCAGTCCCTCAGCCACCAGAAACTGCTGCTGTCTGACAGGCCAGCTGGAGAACTGGGCAGGTTGAGCAGATCCAAGTTATTTCCCTGCTTATTTGCAGTGTCCTCTTGAGCTACCAACAGTTTCAAATAAATGTTGTTTGTGGGGCTTTTGCTAAGTGTGAAATAGGAACTTTCCTTTACTGGTGCTCTTCATAAATGGCATCTCTATTAACAGAACAAGGTTTCTCTATTAGTTCTTTCTGGCACCAGTTGAAAAGATATCCAGGGATTTTTGAATGTCTCTAACAATCTGTTTGGATATAGTACTTTATATGAGTGGAATTATGAGCCCATTTACATTTTAGAGTATATATGCTCCCAACTTTTCATTAAGCACTTCAACAACAGTGGAAAACAGAGCATTAACTTGTCAGTGTTTAACACAGGTGTACTTTATCCCAGGCAGGATAAGATGGAAATCACCCTGTGGCAGTAAGCCAGAATCAATGCTGTGTTCTTACCTGCTGTCAGGGCATTAGTCACTGAGAAAAATGAAATCCTGAAGTTACTGTAGCTCAGAATGTGTACTAAGAGGTGAAATGACAGTGGTAGTAGAAAACAAAAGCCTTCCACATTCAAGAATTGGCTCATGAAAGTTTGTGGATGGAAAGCTAAATATATGTATGGAACACCAGTAATAGCTTGCTCAGCCTCTGGAATGCAGCAGTTGGTTTATTTGGTGGAATTAGAGAAGTAATTCCTGGCTCTGACAGCTTCCACTACGTGCTTTTTTCCAGCCAGAGATACTGTATCTGCAACCCAGGGGTGGTGAGACAGTTCCGGAATCCCGACACCATCTTCATCCTGGCCTTTGCCATCATCCTGCTCAACACAGACATGTACAGCCCAAACGTGAAACCAGAGCGGAAAATGAAGCTGGAGGACTTTGTCAAGAACCTGAGGGGTGAGAAAACTCTGCCAGGGAAGGTCTGAAAAGCTTTTCCCTGTAACTGTCATTGGAGGGACACCACTGTTGTCTGGGAAAAAGGCGAAATACAGAGCACTTGATGCTGATTTGACCTGACTTGAAACTGCTGCCATTTTTACAGGCTTTAAATATTTCTGGAATAGTGAAAACAGAATTAATTATGTAGTATTTTGTCATTTTTATCATGTCTTTTTTGAGTGGATGTATTGTCGGGTCCTTTTATTCCCACATACATATATATATGTGTGTGTGTGTGTATGTATGCATATGTGTATACAGATATGTATATATATTTTATATATATATATATATATATATATATATATGTATTGAGGAACAGAAATCACTCTGCCCTGATGAGAACTTTTGGAAATAAATCAGATATTTAAATTCTCACCAAGTAAAAACAAAATCCCACCTCCAAGACCTTCCTGAAAGGTGTAAATAGCCCAGAAATTTCATTTTGATTCCTTCATTGGTGTATTTTCTGATCAAGACATCATCTGCCAGGCTATGGCCCACCTAAGCTTGCAGTTAGATTGCCAGAAAAATACAGGTATTTTTTCAAATCTGTATCTCAGATCTTTCTATCCTGGTTCTTTGTGGTGAAAGAATTTTTTGTGAAGTATCAGCTCAGCTCTTTCTAACAGGAAGGAGTCACTGAGTAGAGCTGAAAGTGGGCTGAATGGCAGAAAAAAAGAACCAAGTTGCTTCATATATAAAGATGAATATCTCTGTATAGGCACACCTCAGGTGCAGGGCAGTTTGTATTCATGTGTGCATGTGGCACTTTCATTTTAGCACAAGTGAAAACAAAATACTTGTGGTGTTCTGGAATTTCAGATCTTGAGAATGCAAGTTGTGTTTGGTGCTTTTGTTCCCTGAGATTTATACAAGGCAGCAATGAACAGCCTGTGCTCAGCAGATGTTTCAGCTTAGTAAAGTTGAAGTTAGTGCTGAGATTTTATCATGAAGTCCACAGATATTCAAAAAGGCCTGATATTCATCTCTTGGCATAACAGTGCAGTTACATGAGTTGTGTTTTATGCAGTACATTCTCTCTGATCTCCAGCATGAATACCAGCAATTTTTTATTCTTGCAGGTGTTTTTATGACATGTTACCCTGCCTGTAACTTTAAATCACTGCACCACAAAGGTGGTCTGTGGGAGGCCTGGTGGTGTGGAACAAAACAGAGGCGGTTTTGCTTCCTTCTTTCTCCAAAGAAACTGTATTTTATTGCAGTGGTTTTTATGTGAGCAGTTGTTCCACTGGGTGACAAAATATTCTGAATGGGAGATAAGAGTTTATTGCTTTAAAACCTGTTTACAAAATAGACATGCATCTCCCTGTCCCCGGGAAATGCAGCTTTAAGTCACTTAGTGAAATTGGACTCCTTGCACTGCTATTAAAAATTCAGGATGGCGCATTCAGGGCTGCGTGGCGTTTGTTAGGATGACATGCCAACGATAACCACACAGTGCTAAACAATAATCTGGTATCTGGGCTGTTTGCTTGATTTGTTTTTCCAGAGTAAATTAGTTCTTTTTGAAATCTTACAAGAAATACTGGTTAAATTAATTTTACTGGTTGTTCATAAGGTTCTCACATAGGAAATTATTTTCTGAACAGCGCCGAGTAATATTGAGACAGAGGCAAAATGGAACAGTTCTTCTGCTTCCTCCCAGTGGGGTATATTCCTAGGAGGAGGTCATATGGAGGTTTTAGCGTCTATAGTGTAATTTAATTCATTGGAGCTTTGATACCAAGCAGAGGAAACTTGAAAGAAAAAAAAAGCATAGAAATCAACCTCTTAATGGCTTAGTTTTAGCTTTGAATTTTAAAACAAAAATTCCAACCTGTGTAATTTCCATCAGTGTCTCAATGCTCTTGGACAAAAATCAGTGTTTGAAGAATGAGTAGCATCACTTCTGCTGCCTCGGTGGGGGAGGACAAGGACACGAGGAGGTGTTGGCTAACAGGCACTGGGAGCTGTGAAACACCCGGGCAGTCAGGCAGCAGTGGCATCACTGTGAGCAGGGAACAGCAAAGTGCTCCTGTTTTTAGCCTCTCCTGGCTGAGAGCAGTGTCTGTGAGAGCCCTGACGGGAGTGTTGGCCCTGCAGGTGTGGATGACGGGGAGGACATCCCTCGGGAGATGCTCATCGGGATCTACGAGCGCATCCGCAAGCGGGAGCTGAAAACCAACGAGGATCACGTGTCCCAGGTGCAGAAGGTGGAAAAACTCATCGTGGGGAAGAAACCGGTGAGTTCCCTGTGCCTGGAAGGTCAGCTGCTTTGGGGGTTTAGATTTCTATCTAGGCTTCTGGGGGAAGCCTGGTTCTGTTCTTATTCAAACATGTGGCAGTTCAAATCCGAGGGCATGGAGGGCAGTGCACAGCATAGAACAGCACAGGAGGGGTTGCTTAGAAGATAAATTGGTTGCTAAGTGGCAAACTGTCCAAATAATGATTTGCTCTAAGGTTGACTTAAAATCCGGGGCGTTCACAGTGCACGTGGATTTTCTTGTCACAGTCTGGTATTCATGGGTGATGATGTAAGGAGTCTTAAATTCTTTATGTGGAGCTTTACAAGTCTGAAATTACACTGACATATCTGCATTTTAGGCAGTTCTCTTGTTTATTGCAAGAGAATTGAAGTGTTTTGTTAATGTGATGCTGTAGAGAATCATATCTCAAAATTTACACTGTCATTTATACCTCCATAATTTACAAGAGTAACAGAGAACTTCTGATCACATCAGCATCTTCCTCAGCTCAACAGCTCCCATGACCTGGGATTTGTAGGGGGAGATGGAATCATTTTGTTTCAGAGCATATCTGGAAATCAGGTCCCAGGGATTCTAATGCTGGGTTTGAGCATCCAGAGATACCTCTTTCTTTGTTGTGAGAAAAATCCTGAAATACTTTGCTATATAAAAAAAATCTTCAAAGCATCTGTTGGAAAAAGGGAGAGAAAAGAAAGGCCACAGCATTTTACCTTCAGTTTAGGAGCTGAGTGAACACAGAGGTATTAAGACCAATATTTTACCCATATTTTACCAGTATCTAATGTGGAGAGGGCGAGTGGATGATCAGCCCTCCTGAGTTCAAATCCCATGTCAGCAGTCACAAAGGCAGCCCAGAACAAAGAAAAAAAACAAAACAAAACAAAACAACAACAAACAAACAAACAAACAAAAAAAACCAACAACAACAACAAAAAAAAAGCCAAAACAGAAGACCAGACCTGCCTGTTTTTGAAGTCCTACATCTGTTTTTTATCAGCTCTGGGCAACTTCACTGCAGCAGAGTCTGATGGGTTGGGGCATTTGTGATTAAGAAAAAGAACGTGGATCTCAAGAGTCTCCCTATTACTTGTAAAGAGCTTTGAATTGTAATCTCTTCTCAGACAAACCTCAACAGAGGGGTTGGGGGAAGGGAATGAGGGACCACCAAAAAAACTAATTTAGGTCTGTATCCCAGTGAAGGACATACTGAGGAGATCTCTGAAGAAGCAGAGAAAAGAAAGCAAAATTTCCTTAATAAAAGCTTTTAACTGATTTTGAGAAGAAGGGAAATAAATATTCTGAAGTCAGTATTTGACAGTCACTTATGCTTTCATATGAAACTTCTCTTCTGTAATTGTTTGGGGATTTGGGTTTATATATAGGCTTCTTTGGGAGATGTTTTTTTCCATGGTTCCTTTTATATTCAGACATGTGGCAATTCAAATCCTAAAACTGATCCCGACCTTGTAAATTAAATGGGATTAAGAAAACAATACCCTGGAAGGAGTCCTGTGTTCAAGGATTCTTCTGTTGGGAGACTTTTTAACTGTGTGGGAAAGCTAAAAGAAAATTTGGGAAACAGGCAACAGTCTTTATTGATAGATATATTTGTTTTTACTTAGAGGCATTTAGTCGTAGTCAGACCATGATGTGTTTATTGCTATGATACAGTTCTGTGTTTCTCTGAAGTTTAATGAACTTGTATATGTCTTTCTACTGTAGATTGGATCTCTGCACCATGGACTTGGTTGTGTAGGTATTTCTCTCATACTCCTTCAAAATTTATAATCATTGTAACTGGCAGCATTTTCTTAAACTGACAGTGAAGCATTCTTTTACATTTTAAAATTTGAAATCAATAGTGTTCTTTCAAGCAGAATTTTCCTGGTGTTGTAGTAATAACTCTCCAAAGTACAAAGATATTTCCCAGAGACTGCTTAATTTATTACCAAGAGTTTTCTAGACCTTTTTAATACACTTTTTATTCATTTCAAATGCTGTTATCACTGTAGAAATTAGACACACAGTGAAGAATAAACCAATAGGTAAAAATCACAGTTGCACCTCACCTTTGCACCTGGGCCCTGGTGTATTTATTCTTCCTGGTCCATTTGAGAATTGAATGATACTCTGGAAAGATACTGCCAGTTGATTTTAAGGTTTGCTTCTGAATGTAGAAAATACTGATTCCAGATTAAAGTTACAGGTATATTCAGTAATAAACCTAAAACTACTCTTATAATGCACCATTTTATGGATTTCTTTTGGTATTGTTAGTGAGATCTCATCATGTACACTTGAAAGAAATAAAGTCTCACTAGGTTGACAGCAGCAGCTTTGGAGATACCTCAGCAGATATTTCCAATAAGGAAATGGAAAATCAGTCTTGATTTTCTTACTGGCATGAGAAAATCAAACAGCCTGAAACTGCATTTACTTTGTCCTGAGGTCACCATTTCCTTGGTACTGGGGAATGACCAAATTGAATTAACTCAGTGGCTGACAAAAAGTAGCTCCCAAAAGCTAAATTTGCTTTGCATCCTTTCTTCCGACAAAGATGTGTAAAACTGCTTGTGGAAGCAAAACCCTTTGCTCTGAGCTCCCACTTAATCTCAAAGTATTAAGATTATTAAGATTTTATCATTTCACAAAGTAAAACTCTCTCCCATAGAACTTCCATTGGCATCCACATACAGGAATAAAAGCTGATAGAGAGTATTTGATAGAAGTTTGATGAAGTTTGGATGCCATGCATATAAATCTTTCTGTTCCTGTTGTTGGTCCTTTGATGGAAAAATCTAATGGGCTTAGAGGTAGAAATATTTGAAGTATTAAAAAAAAAATAAAATTCTGTGTATGAAAGAGCTAAATGTTGTTATATTAACCCTGGACTTTTGTGTTATCCCAGGTGCTCTCCCTACCCCACAGGAGGCTTGTTTGCTACTGTAGGCTCTTTGAAGTTCCAGATCCCAATAAGCCTCAGAAGCTTGGATTGCACCAGCGAGAAATATTTTTATTTAATGATCTTCTTGTGGTATGTATTTCCAGGCAGGCAGACTTAGAGTGAGGTATTCGGAAATCCTATCTCCAGTTAAATACAGCAGCATTCCTAAAAATAAGTATCTATTATCTGTTACTCTGCACTCCAGAAATCTTGGGATGATTAACAGATTTATATCTTAATTTTCTTAATTCTGTATAATTTGCTTTTAAACTGAAGCCTTTTACTGATTGCTATGCTCTTTTGTAAGGAGGGATTGGATGCAATAGCTTTTACTACAGAGGAAAAAAAATCACCTCCAGGTTACCCATTTCCCTGATGGATAAACAGAGACAGTCTTTATTCTGTGAATTAAGAATTCAAGGTGTTTGTGGAAAAACAAAATTACTGGGGAATACTTTGTATTCCCCAGATGTTCTGTCAACAGATCTGTTTATGCCTCGAAATAGGAAGGGGATATGCTGAAATAGATTTTACAGTTGACTTTACTTTTTAGCGTGCACTTATCCTCACAGACTTTATCTTGACCTACTCTTCTGAAAAACAGACATACAAAACTAGTGACAGCTTGAAATTATTTGGTTGATTTACTCTTAAAAATAGGAAAATTTGTTGCCCTCTCTTTGGAATGTACCTGAGAACTGAGAGCTAAACTAAGAGTTTAATATTTTGTTACAAAAAAGACAGGCTTCACCCTCATGGTTTTATTGTGTGTCATTTTTACAAACCTTCAGACCTCAAATCCAGGAAATAAATACAGAAATGAATCCTTTTGGTTATGAGTAGATCCTCCTGGTTGTAAATGTGAGCTTGAGTGGGAACTGATGGAACATTGCTGTCTTTGGGCTGCAGGTTTTCTGTCTTTTTTTATTACTCACTCAGATGTCAATAGTTTTATCAAACTGTTTGGGGAGTAATACAAACCAAATTTATCAGTTCCAGTAAAATACCATCACTAAAAGTTAAAATTAGAAAGAACTAGTAAAAATAAACCTCTTTGTAAAGAGAAAGAGCAGTTGCACTCACCCTTTAGGAGAACCCCAGCACTGATGGTCAGCAGTAGAATGTTACTTCTGTTGTAGCAAAAAGTCAAGTTTCCACAGACTTGGTGGGACTTTTCCTGTGTCAGGGGCTGTAAAAGGCAGAGGGAAAGCAGGACATCACTGGCTGAGGAGGGCTGAGAATTAACCTGGTGTGGGGAGGTCCTGCCTAGAGTCAGATGTAAGAAAAGGGGTGAAGGAAAGTGTGGTAGCAGCTGCTTTTTGAAGGATAATTTAAACTTCTTTTTGATAGCATGTGCAGTGCACAGTAAGGATGTAGAGGGTTTTGTCTTTTTGGAATTCCAAAAAGTCAGATTTCTGGAGAATGGAGGACACAAAGGCTTTGTTTCTGGATAAAATATTAACTCTTCTGCTTAAGAGATATGGTGCTGCAGAGTTAGCTTAAATACGGCAGTTGCATTTAAAAAAAAAGAATTACAATTAACATATTCTCTGACAGGTTATAGCTTTCTTTTGAATGAAGTGTTTTCTCTTATTCTAATTCCTAAGAACAATAATTTTCCACAAGCATACATGGTAAAAGGGGTATTTCATTTTGTTTATTTGGTAACTTTCAGGTGACCAAGATTTTTCAAAAGAAGAAGAACTCAGTTACATACAGTTTTCGACAGTCGTTTTCTCTCTATGGAATGCAAGTCCTTCTCTTTGAGAACCAGTGTAAGTAATTCCAGGCTTTTTAAATGAGCCTTTTGCTTAAAAATAAAGTAAAAATTAATAAAATAAAATAAAATAATGATTGAGCAAAAGAGGTGGACAGGACTTGGCTCTGGATTTCAGAATAAAATTGCTTTGAATTTAACTTAGCCCCAAAGTTTAAAAGAAGATACTCTCAGCATATGAAACAGCAAGACTGCTGGTTTTTGGTTGTAGTCAGAAGCCAAATCTTCCCAAATGTGTTGTTTGTGAATACTGGTAAAGAATAAAATGATTGTCAAAAAACAAACCCGTCTCTTGCTGAGGCAGCTGCAACTGAATGATAATAAATAATTACTCCTATAGTGATGTGTGCAATTCAAAACACTGTTTAATTTATTTTCCTGATTTATGTTTTAACTGTGCCCAAGTAATATATGCTCACTCAGATATAAATACAAAGCAGAGAGTTTGGACTCAAGCTTGTATTTTGTGACACCTTTTGTTTATGTCTGTTGCAGTCTGCATCAATCCAGTATTCTTTTTATGTTTCATGCTTCTCAAACTTAGTCTTAGCAGACAAAAACCCAACAAAAAACCCCAAATAGTTTGCTAAAGTCCTGCTTTTAAGCCAAAAGGCAGCATCAGTACTAACAGCAGAGCAGAGTATGCTTACACATTCATTCTCTCTTTTGTGCACTCATTATATAATATAAAATTCAGTTTTGGGAGGAAGGGCAAATATATCTATCCTAGATTCTACTGAAAATAGAAGAATATATATCTCCTCTGATGTCAAATTAAATAAAATATTGAAAAAGATATATCTCATAAGTATACTAAGTAGAAACACTATTCAAATAAACTTAAAAACATATACAGTGAAACAAGAAGCAAAGGGTTGGATTTCTCCCGGGGAACTGGAGGCATTTTAACTGAGACACTTAAATAGACATAGTTTGGCTTCTAAGTTGAGCTCACTACAATGACTCAGTGAACAGATTGTACTTCTAGTATGGGTGTCTGTCAGGTGGAATGCAGTATTTTCCAGTTTGGAAAGAGAAGTATTTTTCTCCTTTGGTTTGTAAAATTCATATTCTTGGTTTCCCCTGTCCCCAGCAAGCTTTGGGCTCTTTTGGCCACCAGTCAGTAAATCCCTGTGTAGCAGCTGTCAGAATCAGCTGCTCTCAAGTGAACAAAATTAGTGTTGCTAAAGCAGAAGCAACAAAAATATTGCTTTGGCTGCTGGTGAGGTTGAACAACATGATTGGCTTTGGTAATAGAAGAATTGACTTTTAATGATAGAAGTCAGGATCCTGAGCTCCAAAAGGGAGAACAATGTCATGTATCTTTAGAAAATCTTTTACATTTTCAGTCAGTCAGTAACAAAATATAAAGGGGGAGCAGGTCACTGCAAGAGAGAGTGTCTGAAACCAGTGAATACTGATGTGAGTGTCTCCTGATGCTTAATCAATACAGTGTGGAGAAGTAACTGTGGGAATAAAATATACGTGTTTCTTTAGTATGTGGAAAATCCTTCTTGGTTCATATGTGGGGGCAGCCCATGTGACTTCACATTTCCTTGTTTGGTTTCATAAGCATTTTTGGTTTTTCCCCTTAAGTGGTGCACTTTGAGCTGTTTGCTGCATATCCATGTCAGTATTCCCAGCACTGCCTGGAGGGATTCCATGCTCCCCTCCTGTGAGCCCACCCAGCACCAGCCTCCTTTGTCTCCTCTTCTGTGCACGATACTGAGAGCAGACCCCACAGAACCCCCAAGCTCCTCCTTCCCTCTGGACCCTTTGAGCCTTGTGGTACTTGCACTGTTTTCCTCTTAGAATGGTGAATGGACTTGCTTCACTTTCAGTTGCAGCTCTGATTTGGAAGATATTCTTCTAAAATTAAATCTGGAATAAAAATTTGGAAGTATTCTTCTAAAAAAGAGCAGCATTTGCACTTGTCTCCCAATAGCTGAATCTTGTTGAAACCTGATGGCTTTGAGGGGAGGGGAGCTGCCTTACATCATCTGCTGGCTCTTGAGGGAATGAGTTTTAGTGCCTGGGAGCCTTTGAACTTCGGCTTCAATACTTAAGTAAATATTTGAGAGCTGTAGCAAACCAAGAAGGTAAAGCAGCTGAGGAAAAGAAAACACTGTGAGTTAAAATTCACCTTTTGAGGTTTTCTGACACCCCATTTCTACAGGTCTGTGCTTCAAGCAAAGACTGGTTCTGTTTTCTAGAGCAGAATTTATCTTCTTTATAAATATCCTCCTGTAAATGAACCTTCTGTCTCAGCCAGGAGATATTTTTGACCAGCTGTTAAAATTTGCATTCTCAGATGTGCAGCTAGAAAAGAAGCAAAGACAGTCTGCTAAAAAATCTCAACCTTTTGTTTTGAAGTTACCCATAGTATGAGTCAAAAGAGGGGTGAAAAAAACAACAAACAAACCCTTTTACTTCTTCAGTATGTAATCTCACAGAGAATTTTAACTTTGTTTAAAAAAAGAGAAAACTAGGATTGTCAGGGAACACAACTCAAGAGGAAAGATTGAAAGCTGTCCCTGCTAATGTGTTTGTCTTCCTGCAAATGTTACAAGTAGAACAAGTTTGATGTACTTGAGATGTCTTCAGGTAGTTTTTACTCAGCAAAACTTTGGGCACAATTTAGTAAGATAGGTAATGGGATCTGTTCCATGAAACAAAAATTATCCCCTTATTTTTTTGCCTTTTCTGGTATTTTTCTTTTATATTGTACATTGTACCTTAAAGGTAACAGATAAAGACTATCTTCCAGGATTTAGTCAGCATCTTGACAGTTGAGCTGTTCCAATGTATCTTAGGGATTTTCATTCTGATGCTGTGCCTTCAAACTTTTATTTTTCTGACTTTGTACCCTCTGTGGTAATATTAGTAAAAAACCTTGAGTTTTGGTGGTTTTTTTTTTTTATTAGAAGAAAAGGAATTGGAATAATCAGAGCTTAGTTTCTCCTGCCTTTCCCTTCCAGATTATCCCAACGGTATCCGGCTCACGTCAGCCGTGCCAGGAGCAGACATCAAAGTGCTCATCAACTTCAATGCCCCGAACCCTCAGGACAGGAAGAAGTTCACAGATGATTTGAGGGAGTCGATTGCAGAAGTTCAGGAAATGGAAAAGCACAGAATAGAGTGTAAGTACAAAGGTACATAAAATAGAGCATTGTCAGGCTAATCCTAGGAAGGCAATTCTGAGTATGTGTATAACCCATTAGAACACTTTAAAAGTTCCAAATAATAGGGGTTTTTCCACAAGTCTGACTCTAGAAAGAGGAAAAACCCAATGATATGTTAAGGCCCAGCTGAGTTCACTGACTCCTATTTACTGCAGTGTAGCTGGAGTGGAATTTTAGCCTGGACAAACTGTAAATACCAATGGACAGGGTGGAGGTGGATTTGTGAATTGTAGTATAAATTACAGCAAGAATTTGAGGTATAATTTACATCACACTGAAATTCTCAATGATGGCCCTTCAAATAAGTTTCACAGGATTTTTCTTGATTTCCATGTTGTTATTTTTTATTTTCTCCATGAGGTAGCCGTGGTACAAGTTGATATATTTTACTGAAAGTTCCATGAGTGTCTAAACACGAAATTTTGTCTCCTGTTTTTCCAAGAGGCTGTGTGTGTTGCAACATAAATCTGTTAGTACAGAAGTGAAGCTCCTGTCTCTTATTCACAGTAATACCTGCTCACACACAGAAATTGGGATGTTTCCATGTTCTATGATAAGTCTATACTCATGGAAAAGCTCCTTACTGGAATTTAGATCTTGAGGACTCTTTCCAGTTTCCATTTTAAGCTCAAATGATGAAGTTTCCTTGTTTGTCTAACTTTTGTCTTTATTGTGCTTATTTTTCATTTTGCTAAGAGTTTGGCAAGATTTGAAGGAAAAAGAAGGTGCGAATATAAAAATGAAAGATAAATCAAGGAATAACAGGAGATGTTCAAGCATCCTGAATAATGTGTTGGTTTAAAATATGACAGTGGATTTAGTGTACTGGTTGCTCATGCCAGCCTTTGTGAGCAGAAGTAACAATTCCCCCAGAGGCTGGTTGGGCACTGCCCAGGCTCCCCAGGGCAGTGGGCACAGCCCCAGGGCTGCCAGAGCTCCAGGAGGGTTTGGATGATCCTCTGGGGCACAGGGTGGGATTGTTGGGATGTCTGTGCAGGGCCAGGAGTTGGACTGATGATCCCTGAGGGTCCCTCCCAGCTCGGGGTGTTCCATGATCTATTGTCCGATCCCGCGTTTAATCGAGAAACGCGAATTGCAAAGTCGCCGTCTCTGTTTCAGCTGAGCTGGAGAAGCAGAAGGGGGTGGTGCGTCCCAGCATGTCCCAGTGCTCCAGCCTGAAAAAGGACTCTGGGAATGGGACCCTGAGCAGGGCCTGCCTGGATGACAGCTACGCCAGCGGGGAGGGGCTGAAGCGGAGCGCGCTGAGCAGCTCGCTCAGAGACCTGTCCGAAGCAGGTAAGCGCTGCATTTCCTCCCTTGCTCTCTGCATGCAAAGATGCCTCAGTGAAAGCCTCCACAAACAGTAGTGCTGAAATCTCAACCATTTTAAATAGCTCCTCTGTCCCAGTTCCTGTTTCATTTCTCTTTGTTTTTCGCCCTTGTTCTGTTAAGGGTTTGAAAGCATTTAAACCGCTGTCGGTTGCTATAGATACTTTTAAAGGAGAGTGAAGACAGGAAAAATTGTAAGTTTTTGATTAAAAAAAAAATAGTGACTTGGGCTAGGAGTAACTCAGTTTTCCTTTCTTTTTTTCACCCCCTTTGCTTCTTCCCCCTCATACAGTAGGCTTAGAAAGAAAAGGAAGGAAACTGGTCTCTGTGCAGTGACCGCTTTCTGTGTATTCTGTGCTCAAAAGTTCTGTGCTGCCACCTTGATGAATGAAATGGAGTGAAGCCTTACTAAATTCTGTCCAGAGCTCTGTAACTCAAACACAGTGTGTCCCTGGTGCTCTTTTATTGGTTTGTAACTCAGATACAGCTCCTAATTCTTGCAAGAGGGGTTGTTGTGAAGTTCTCTTAACAATCTAACACAAGAAGCCCCAGTGGACAAGAATTCTGATATCCCACAAAGCCTCTGCCGTGTGATCAGTTTTATTAACTGAGTAATGCAGCTAAAGGCTGCAAAGCAGGGATGGTGGGATTTTTTTAGGCAAAGAAAGCCAGGGGAAGTTTAGCATGTTTTTATTTGATGGTTTGCCTCACACCTGGCAAACCCATGTAATTTTTCAGTTTTAAAAATGATTCTTGTCATTTACAAGAGCTCATATCTGAACACCATGTCCACTATTCAGAAAGTACTTCTGGGGATAGTAGCAACTATATATTTTTTTTAATTATCTGGTTTTAGTTCATAGTCTGTGTTACATACTCTGCTTTGTTCTTTTAATTGTAGTGATGATGTACAGTATAGTCATAATTTCAATATTCTGTATATCTTTGGTAGTAGACACCACTTACCTTTTCCCTTTTTTTCACTAAAGAAGAGATTTTAGCTCTGCTGCAATAAATAAAATTATTGTAAACTGAAATTATAGCCTGTGTTTTGTGGGTATATGTGTGTGCATACAAATATGTAGAGAGTGAGCTCTTTCAATTCTTTTCTTCTCTGTTTAGGCTTTCATACTCATATGTCCATCTGCTTCATTAAAAAAGACATAGGACCTTGATCCAAAATCAGGCTGAAGCTGAATATTGGTGCTTCATTGGCCCCAGTGGATTTTAGATCAAGCCCCTGGTCTTCACTACTCTTAAATCTCAGATTTGAGGATACTTCATCATCCTTTTTGTTATTTTGGTTTTATTTCATTGAAATGAGAACTACCATATTGTCAATATGTGAGTTCGGTGGGTATCTGTGCCCCTAAATGTGATTTCTGATTGACTTTTTCATTCCATCAGAATTACTCATCCCTCTCTTTCAAACATTGCCATGTATTTAAATTCATTTTATGGGTTTTATTCAACATTTATTCAAGCATTTGTAATCATGAACCCATTCCACATTTCCACAGGGCATGCCTGCGACTGGCATGCTCGTTTCTGAAAATAACTTTTTTCCATAACAAAAAGTAGAAATCACTCACAGACTGCAGGGTTTATCAATGAGTTTGTTAAACCCAACTAAACTTAATTTTAACTTGCAATAGCTGAGAATTATGGAGAGTTTCTGTTTGGTCTTGTGCAGTGCAACTGGCTTGAGAAATGACACGCCTGTTATTGCTTTGGTAGTCAGTGGAGTAACTTCGGTGACATGGGACAGGTCCTTTCTGCCTTTTCTCAGGGAATAGCTTGCATGTGAGGCTAATTTTATGTTTTAATACGAGAGGGTCAATCCATAACAAAACAGAGATACCTCAGTTAGGAAGATGCTGCACCCCAGTGATGGTATGATATTAAATTGCTTCTATAAAACAGTGTGGAGTCAGGTGCCTCAATTCTTCTTTTTCTGGATGAAACACAGGGTCAGCAAGGAGCAGGAACAAGAGTAGTGGGGCTGTGTGTGGACTTGTGTCTGTCTGTTGGAAAAGACACAATGCAAGTGGATTTTTTGAGAGGTCCTTTCTACATTTAATCAGAAATAAATGTAATAAACATGAGAAAATGACCTGGTTGCATATTTATGCAGTAAGGCAGATAATTGTCCAGTGAACATTGCAAAAAACAAATTTTTAACTATTTATTCAACGAAGGGGAAATGTGACTGACCAGCATTTTGGCTGTAAGGGTACGTGACTGAACTGTTTAAGAAATAGTCCCCCAGACATCCCAGCAGTAAATGGTGGCTATGGAAAGTCACTTGAAATGTCCCTCTTGGAAAAGATTGTGATTCCTAAGCTGCTTAGATCCAACAAATGCTGATGTCCTGAATGATTCTGACTCCTAAGCTGGAAATCAGACAGAAAGGCAGGATTTCTGTCAGCAAACAATGCCAGGAGTCGTTTCCTGACGGCTGTTCTTCAGTGTGATAACTGAACTCAGAACTGTGCAAAGGATCTGTGTGAGGGTCTCAGTTTGAAAGACAATATTGTTCACTCTGGATTGTCAGTTCTTTCTGTGGAATAAAGAGCAGAATGTGGCAACCAACTGCTCCAAGATGTGACTGTGTCCAAAAGTATTTAGTGCTTTATTTTTTTCTCAAAAGAGAAATGTATCATTTTTATTGCACATTCTTGAGCTGTAGTCAGGGAGGAACTGAATTTATTTGTCTCAGACTTGGAAATTCTTAATTTACAGAAAAACATTAGAAGGCAGACAAATATTAATGCAGCTAAAGCTGGGGTTTGTTGGTTCTGATAGTGTTCTGGGCACTTCACCTCTTACTCCCTGTACAATTACGTGGTGAGAGGTTTACAGACAGATGTGAAAGGTGTGATGGCCCATCAGGGCCATTAGGCCACGAGAAGAATGATTTGGTCACCAAAGCAGAGCAGGGAGGATTAGAATGGTTATGTTTCCATTTCTGTGTCTCTCCTAAATTTCTGGACTGATTTTAGGCAAGTCAGTCCCAGTTCCAGCCACTTTGAGTTCACAGTGGGAAATGGGGAAAGCAAACCTTGTGCTTCCCTCACCTGTAAGTGGAAATAATATTTACACACTGCACTGGTGTAAAAATTCCAAGGTTATGGTTATCCCCAGTGATACACAAGTGGCATAGATAGCCCTGTAGCACTGCAATCTGCACACATGCAGGGTGAGATCATGGTTCCTATTCATAGAAATTGGGATTGTCTCAAAACAATCACAGAGCATTAAAGACTCCTCAAAAACCAAAGCAAAACCATAAAGTAGTTCCAGAATTAAAGGTCTATTTGCATATTGCCTATAAACTCAGTCAACCTTTAACTTTTAAAATGTTTGTTTCTAGCTTCCAAAAAAACTTTCTTATTTTTTATGTTTAGCAGTTTTATAGTGCATTTTTTAAAAATTTCTTATATTCCAAAATGTAATGGAAAAGACTGTGGAACTTCTCAGCATTGTAATCCCCTTAAAAAGACTCTGAGTTGATGGAATTACAGAATCCCTTAATCTCTTGGATCAGTCTGTGCTGGGATGGTGCAGTCCCTGGCTCCTTCCTCATCCCATGCAGGCAGGGTTCATTTTTCCCTTCCTCTCCCTTGGATTTTGCTGCAGAGGATACCAGGAATCTTTGACTCCCTTGCTAGAAGAGTTTTCCAAGTAGGGAGAGATTTTTCCTGTCTCTTCCCTTGTCACTGTTGTAACATTTCCTATTTTTCCAAGGAATAACAACAGTAAAGGGGTATGATAGAATTCACTGGGTGCTTTAAATAAAGCTGGTTTGTATGAATTAAATCTTTGGTGACACATTTATGATAATACCAAACCATTTTACAGACACCCCACACTGTCCCTAAACACCTTGTTATCACCAACTTTTCTGTCTTATGGAAGAGACACTGTTTCACATAGAAAACAAGGTGAAAATGAGGAGGTTACAAAGAGTCTTTTCCCTCTGGAAAGTGGTGTCTCTAAATTAATGACTAGAGCATATTTTAATTTAAAACTTTTTTCCACACTTTTTTTCTCAAGACATACAAAGCTAGATGATAATATATTTTTTAGCTGGTGTATCTCACTGGCACAGAAGATAGTTTCAAGAAATACAGGGTAGCAGTGAGAAATACTTCCACTTACTGTAATGATAATGATAATACCTGTGCATATACAGGACATATCATACTTACATAAGTTAAAGATATTTCTTATAAAGAATATTCATATCTAACATCAATGAATTACTGAGATGAATTAGAAAAGGTTAAATTAATTGAAATTTAATTTTATAAAAATAAATTATAAACTACTCTAAGTAGCAGCCTGAAAAATGTTGAGTGAAGTATTTGCTTATTAAGCAAAACCGGTCTTCAGATTTAATAAATACCACCCTACTTTTTAGCACAGCTGCTCATTATTCTGCCAATACATGCTTAGATGCAATTCTAGTCAAGGCTCACCATTTTCTTGAAATGCATGTGAAGGCTGAAGTTCTGGGGAAACATTTTTGAGATGGGATGCCATCCCAAGGACCAGGGAACTGTCTGGAATAAACACACCTTGGCAGGGGGAAGGCTCCTGGGGATTCACTTAATAGCTCTCATGTCACACTGTATGTCAGGACAGAATTGGGCTCAGTTTGGTTTTAGGAACACAAACAAAGGCTCTGTACAGCAATAGTGCCCATCTGAGGGGACTACAGGCTTTAAAAAGGATTTTTCTGTGTGTTCTTGGCTTTGCCCTGGAGTTATTCTGAGCACAAATCCATCTGTCTCTGTCCGTATATGCTGTGTCTGTGGTTATTTTAGTAGATGTGACTCCTGCCACACGCAAAAGGCATCAGATTTTCCTGTTTTCCTTCATTTTTGGCCACATTGAATGACCCATGTCAGCTCCCAGTCTTATTTGCAATACTGACTGCTAAGAGGTGACTGTCTTTCTCAGTGTGTTTGCATCAGCAAGCAAGAGTGATTTGAGTGTTAATCACTACTAATCCCATTGTCAGAGCAGAAAAATATCAAAGCCTGACTAGAAGTGAAAATAAGGGATTACCAAAACCAGTTTTTCTTGGGGGGTTCCTAAGATAGTTCAGTTATGGTTTGGCTGAGGCTAAAACTGCAGCAGGTGGAAACAATGAGCTTTTGACAAAGATCCTGTCTAGGGGAATTGTTCCAAATTCCACCAAATTGAACAAAATACCTTGACCATAAATCCCCTCGATTTAATGTCACTGGAGAGGAATTTGTCCTGGGGAGCAACTCTGTGATAATGAGAGAGGGGGAATTGTTCCAGTAGCCTAAAGAGAACTGTAGCTCTCAGAGAAGCTTGTGTTTCAGGGCAGCGTCCTGGGAGCAGCCAGGTCAAAGTTATGCTTATGAATTCAACAGCTGGTATTTTTTGATCACATTACAAGTCTAAATTGGTCTATGGAAGGGTCTGTCAAGAAGGGTGAACCTCCCAGGAATCACTGTTTTGTCCCAATTCTCTAGTTCTGATCCCAAGTGGCTTTGAGGTGTCCCTGATGAGGGTATGCCACTCACTGGTTTGGTGATGCTGAAATACTCACATTCTCCCCCAAAACCACCTCTTAGAGTAGAAGATTCTGAAGGCAGCAATGTACCAATGCAGGGTAGAGATTGTCTTTGATATCTGGCCTTGTAGGAAAGCAAGGAGAGAACTCTGAGAAGACTTTGGTTTCTAAAAGCATGTAGATTTTAGGGAAGCTTTAAGCACCTGATCTCTCAAAGGTTAGCTTTGTTTATGCACCCTGCCAGTACAGTGTTCTGAAACTGCACAAAGCAATGCTCAGCAACCTGTCTTCTAAAAAAATCTCTATCTCCACTGCAGCCATATGCTATTTTCTCTCCTGTGAAATGAGAAATAAAATCTAGGATCCTGTGTCCTGTTTATAGCCACCGAGGTCTTTTGGCTCTTTAGTCTGGTGTTTCACGCGTGGTTTTAGGCAAATGTCTCTGCAGTTTGAGACTGTTGGAGAACAAATCCAGCATACTTAAAGATAAAGCACTGCACAGCTAAACAAACAAAACCTAGCCATAATGTCAAGACAGATTCCAGATTTATTGATCAAAAATTAAGTTTAGTTTTTTTAAAACCTCATGAAAGAAGATTATATGAAATCCACTGAGGTTCAGAGCTGAAATTGAAATGATGAAACCAATGCCCCTCACCAGTCCCCCCCACTGAATCACAGACTCACAGGATGAGTGCTGAGTTAGAAGGGACCCACAAGGATCATCCAGTCCAACCCCTGGCCCTGCACAGGCCCATCCCCAAGACTCACCCCCTGTGCCCAGAGGATCAGCCAAACCCTCCTGCAGCTCTGGCAGCCTTGGGGCTGTGCCCACTGCCCTGGGGAGCCTGGGCAGTGCCCAACCAGCCTCTGGGGGAAGTTCAGACTATGTGAATATTAAATTTTGCACTTAAATTAATATCACCCCACAAGTATATATCAATGTGCTTAAAGAAAGAAACTTCACAGCCAATTGGACTCCAGGAAATCAAACAATTTAACATCCCTGCTGGTCAATGTCCCAACCACAGCACCAAACACCGACGTTAAACCCACGTATTGTAAGACTTGTGCGAACTAAAAAAAAACCCTTTAAACCTGCCCCGCTCGTGTTAGTCGAGTGCCAGCCGAGCAGTGAGTCAGTGCAGGGGGCCCTGCCAGCAGCCCTGTGCCCGTGTGTGCCCGTGGTGTGTCCCTGGCTGTGTGTAGAGCTCCCGTAGGACGCAGGGCAGCAGCTCTTCTCCCCGGGTGTCGTGTCGGTCTCTAATCTCTGGTGTTGCATGTCCTGGGCAGGCAAGCGTGGGCGCCGCAGCAGTGCAGGATCGCTAGACAGCAATATGGAAGTAAGTAGGAAGTTCCTGATGTCTAGCTGGATGTGATGATGTGCATTTCAAACCTTTCTTTTATATATACATATTTTTTTGCTCTTTTTTCTTCTAACACATAACCTGCCTGCCACGAATAAAATGCATGCCTAGGCTACTCACTCCGTATTCTTCCAGCTTAAAAAGCACTGACAGCTTGTTTTAGACCAATGGCATTTTTGGTTTGAGCTAACCTTGTTCCCTTTGTTCCTGCAAGCATGGTTAAATGGATATGATGTGTCCTTTTGCCACCATTTCAGTCTGGTCCCAGCTTAAAAGCCCACTTGCTCTTTGTTACCAAGTACACTGTTCTTGCTGTTTGGTATTTAGCTACAACTATTGACTGTCATGCTCAACCATTCCCATTGCTTATTTTCGAGTTCAATTGCTAAATGTATGCAGTCATGACACCATGGAATTGCACAGATAGGGCATGGGAGGAAAAAAATTATTAAGATAGGTGAATTCAATGTGGATTTCATGAGATTTCATTCATCTTCAAACCATTTATATATACTGTTCATGTCTCTGAATTCAGCTTGCAGATTTTTTCTTTTTGTTTTTTTTTTTCTTTTTTTTTTTTTTGTGTTTGCTTTAGGTAGATTGCAGTTTAAATCTAGCACACTTTGCCTAAGTACTGTTGTGTCCCATAACTCTTTAAAAATACAAACCCCAAGCTTCCAGAAACTAAATTCCAGGCTAAATAATAATGTTGGACCACAGGTCACAATAACACAATCACATAGAAATCTTAGTGGCAAAAATGGTTCCATTTAACACATAATGCAGGGGTAGGCCTGAGAAGCAGCACTGTGACATACAGTAGTGGAAAACTATCAAAAAAGTTTTAAATACTATTTTGAAATCTAAACTGCAACTGTAATATTTGCTGCTGTATATTTAACTGTTTAGGCTGAATTTAATGTAGCTTTATTTTTTTTGTTGTTGTAAAAAAGCAAGTATGGTATTTTTTACAGTATTTTAAAATGTATTTTTCCTTTAAAAAGACACCTCTAGGTCTTATGTCATGTTACTCTTCCATGACATTTTTTTTAATTTAAAGTCATATCTTTCAATATCAAAAGTACCGAGACAAAAACATTCAGTGCTTAACATACCCCAAGAAAGGCACGAGTGCCTCATTGGCAACTTAGAGAAGGTGGAAATAAGATTTTTCCTAGAACTCTTTAACATAGTCACCCAGGTGAACACTGAAGGAGGAGTTTGTGGGTCAGTGTGAACTTTTTTCTTTTAAACATTTTAAGATTTTTTTAATTTTTATTTCTATTAATTTCTTTTTAGGGGTCCATCATTAGCAGTCCTCACATGCGCCGAAGAGCTACATCAACCCGAGAGTGTCCATCTCGCCCTCACCAGACTATGCCCAACTCCTCCTCACTCCTAGGGTCCTTATTTGGTAGCAAAAGGGGGAAGCCACCTTCCCAAGGCCATCCACCATCCGGCTCATCACAGCAGCCCGCGCACCCCGC